TTGTACATGTGTTTTTTTCGTTGCATCTTTTAACAAAAATATGTAACCAACTGGTATTCATCTGGTATTTGTATTTTTTTTATTCATCTGTTATTTTTGTTTTTGTATTCTTATATTCATTTGGTATTTTTTTGTATCCAGTGTTTTTTTAGAGTATCATTCTTGTACGTGACAGTTTATGTCTCTTGGTTAATGATATATTTTAATTAAAATAATTAAAGAAAAAAAAATGAGTCATCATGTCTAACAAGCCTTCTACATGTAGAAAGACTTCTGTATTTTATCCTTTCTCTTTCATGTCATGTCATTGTGTGTAGAGTTTAAACATTCACGGTTGGAGACAATTTTTATTGAATTTTCTTCTACAATTCTACAATCTACAGTCCATTGGAGATGCTCTCATGGATTCCATGACTTTGTTGCATGAATAAACGCCAATTTTTAATACATTTTTTTCGTAAAATGTGTCGAAATAAATAAACTAGTTTGGAGTTGGGAATTGATAGGAGAAATCACAAATTAGGGTGTGACATTATAATTATACATACTTGTTTTCCTCAAATGACATAAATTTTGCAAACTTTTAAATGATATAAACTAGGGGAATTCGGCCATGCCGTGTTGTGGGTCTTTAAAAATTTGTTACCTAACAATTTTGTCGTTGCGAGGTAACGCTAATGAGTATGTGCATACTTTAAACTGTTTTCATTTTAAAACATAGGTTCACATTAATAAAACATTCATATCCGACAATTATATTTACATGCATTGAGTCCAGAAGAGAGCCTCGACTTGTTTTCTTACTAAACACACCATCCGAAAGAAGTAGCATAACACGATCCGATGCAGTTTATATTAGGAATTAACATCCCCATGAACATCGCGAGAAGTATCAAATCCTAATATATTCACAGAATGGCTGGCAACGTGCAAGCAGTTGTATGTACAATACATTATGGTTTAATACATTTTAGCTAGTAAGGAGGTTATCAAATCCTAATGTATTACAAAAGAGCAGGATAACTATTCCCAATATATATATGTTCTAACATTGTTCAAGACCATAAGGAAAACCACCACATCCACTTAAACAAGTTAATAAGAGTAAAAACTATAAATTCAACATAACTGAAACATGGTAAGTTCATGCAAGACGCAATGAATTTTTCTAACAAAGCCAAAATCCAAAACAGAACGATTCAAACAAAGGTCCCCCACCTCGATCAGTCCCAAACTCCGCGACAACAAAATATAAAGGAGAGAAATAATCATCTACTCTGTAGGAGCCGAAACAAAAACCAGATAGGAGGAGAACGACGGACAAATATAAGCAAAAAACAGTAAACCAGATAGACTAAGAGCAACAAAACAACTTCCCTTGTAGGAAAAAACTAAATATGCAGAAGAGGCATATAAATAACTGGACGAACGTGGCATGAACAACGCAAACCCCCAAACCACTCGCCTGAAATTACCCCTTGAAAAGAAACAAAAAAAAAAAAAAAAATGTGAGTGAAAATTAGAATGGGAAATCACAAGACCAGGAATAGCAAAAGTTACCATGTACAAACAAATTCAACCGGATAAAATTATACATTGAATGTCGGAAGCCACATTTTTTTACCTAGAAATCTAAGAACTCTGACGGTCGAAAAACTGAAAGCCATCAAAAAAGTAGCGTACGAATTGAAGCGGCGGCGGTCGAAGAAAGCTAAAAAAATAAAATTACCCATATCCTCCAACACCAGGCCAAAAAAACACACACTGACACAACTAATGGGCCGAAACATTATTTTAGCACACGGGAACCAAGCCCACAAACAAAACGTCGCCGTTTCGCCAAAACATCGAAAAAAAATACAAAAAAACCCATGCGCAGCAAAAGTGGGACACGCGTCGAGCCCACAACGATTCTCAAAGAGAAACGCTATAAGTACATAATCTTGTACATAGAGTTGTACATAACACTCACATAAGTGGGTCCTACTAAAAATAAATAATTAAGTGGACCACACTCCATGTTAGTGTTATGTACACCTTTATGTACATTGATTATGTACTTGTAACATTTCTCATTCTCAAAACACTCTCGTTTTCTTATATATATGAGAGGATATTTCATTATAGAGCAAAATAAATAAATAAAATATAGTATAATACTCTTTTTTTTTTAAAAAAAAATAATAATAATACAATTGCAAACGTGTATCTCTGCTCTTAAAACTAACAGGGTAAGTACCTGTTTCTTGTGCTAATTCCTAATATGACCTAAAACATTTTCAACCATTCTATTGTTATTGATGAACCTGTTTCCATGTGTTCGCCAATCAGCATTCAGCAGTTGCACGCATAGCAAGCAACAGAAGATTCTTTTTCACAAAACAAAAATTAGACAAAGTGTAGTGATGTGGCTAGGTTTCTGGGGGCGAACTCCCGGCGATTATAAACAAAGCATATAACAAAGTGCACACCATGTTTTCACTCACATTCCTCATCATGTACAAATACAAACAAGATGAAAACGTGAAAACCCATGTCTCATTACAAGTGTTACAGCACAATATTACCTGGAAAAGGCATTTTATTCAATGCTGGGGATAATTTTTCCTATATGCTTGCTGCTTTCCATGAGCCGATGAGCTTCTGCAGCTTCTTCTAATGGAAAAGACTTGTAAATGACTGGTTTGACCTAGCCTGCCGCAATTGCCGGCCACACGTTTTTCTCCACTTCGCTCACGATCTGAGCCTTGTTTTATGTACTTCTACTCCTCAGGCCGCAGCCATAGCAAAGATCACAGAATAAAATAAATTAGTTTAAAAAATTGAATCGAACTTCAACATTTTTGTAATAATAACTGAAACAACACTATACCATGATATAAAAAAGGAAGATCTTAAAAAACTTCAGTAACATTCGAGTGCATTTACGGTGGACTGTAAGGCGTCGTGCTAGTATACTGGCAAGGTTTATTTCAGTCACTGACCCACCCATAAACCGAATTATGAAAAGGCTCCCGTTAAAATTCAGGCTCTCCAAGTTCTTCTTCAAGTATGATGCGCCAATGTTGTCTAGTATGACATCAACACCTATCCATTGGAAAAAAAATAAAAATAAAAATAAAAAATAAAATAAAATTGAAGCATTTTTTAGAAAGGGATTTCTTTTTCTCAACCATTGAGTAAATTATATGTTCTATTATAATGTCATGATCGAAGTTGACAATGAAAAACGAGACAGTTCCAAATTATTTACAACCTTATTATCCTCCAGTTTCTTCTTTCACTCGGGAAACAAAATCCTCAGTCTTGTAATTGATGCAAACATCAGCTCCAAGGTCCTTGCAGGCAGCTAAGTTTTCTTCACTTCCTAAATGGCAGAATGTATTTTGTTAATAATTATCAGTGAGAGTTCAGTGAGTACCAACTGGATATCATCATCATTGCAAGATTAATAAAAACTGTCATTTGCATCGAACCTGCAGTGACGAAAACTCTGATGCCATGGCATTTAGCAAGCTCAATAGCAAATGTACCAATTCCACTGGAGCCCCCATGAATCTGAAATTAAACATTATTTTTTTTCCAGTTGAAATGACAATAGATTACAGAAACAACTATGGTAAAGCAGACATTTGGTTTATAAGATTTCTAAAAAGATCTCATCAATATATTATGAAATTGCACTAAGGGCTGTCTTTATTCCAGTCTCAAAGGGTATACAAAGCTCCAAAACTTTATCTGTGTGCCTTTTTTCTCAATTAGAGAACTTTTGGGGTCATCAAGTTAAGCATTGAAGCTTTACAATTTCTTCTTTCATGTATTGTTCTGAGGTTTCTCTGTACTAACCCAAAGTCGTCAACATTTCTTGACACGGATTTTCGTAAGATGCACAAAAGTGCCGAGAAGTTAGATTTACAACTCACAGAAATAATTTCTCGCCAGCATCTTTTAAACTGCAGCACAACAACACAAAAATGCGAGTTTTCGACACCACTTACAGTTGTTTGAGCATTTCTACGTGCATTGACATTTCAAAAGGGCAACCAAAAAAGAAAAGAAAAAAGTCTCCTTAATAATCATTAGAGGGATATATCCCCCAAGGAGTCAATTAGCTACTCTCTGAAATCACGATAGCTTGAACAAAAAAAAGCAGTACAGCCCACAAACTTATATCCTTATAGTTACAACAGAAATTTCACTTACAGAACATCCGTAAACAAGTAAAGGTTAATGACTTTCTACTATACTGACCAAGAATCCTAATCAAGAAGATGGAAAACCATACCAGGAAAGTCTCTCCTTTAGATAATCGGCTCATCATAAAAACAGTGGACCAAACCGTACAGGCCACCTCCGGAAAACTAGCTGCATCCACGTAACTACTGGTTTAGCGCGCTCGATGGCTCTGCATAAATTATCCGTTTTTTATCCTTCTGACCATGTTCTTGATCCAATGTGGAGACAAGGCATGCTTGCTGATAGTGTGGAAGCCATAATCTATCAGATATCGGATTTCCTATTTTTCTGTCAACTGGACAAATACGACCATAATGACTAGGGTCTAATTGGTCGAGTAAAGGTCTCCGTTGCTATTTGACTGGTCTAAGAGTTAGAAAATCACATTTTTTTCAACGCATACATCATTTCGAAATGAAATATCATATTCTAAAAAATAATATTAAACAAAAGCATGACATTATATAATATATGCATGAATTTTCTTTGTAAGTGTATAACAAGTCGATTCGGCTAACAATTAGAACCAGGTAAAGCGAACCAGAACACGCAATTGTTCGAAAGTAAACCGAACCCCATAACAAAATCTGGAGTACAAAACACAAAACGAGCTCATAACCTTGGAAAACCAAGAAAAACCACGAATCGCATCAGATGATTCTCTCACAATTCTAACCAAAAACGAAAAATGAATACTCAACATTAGTCTGGAATAAAATTTGAACCTCAAGATAACAAACAAGAAAAGCTACAATCTTTTTAACCTAGCAAGCCATGGCACCTTTCTTCTTATCACCTTTCTTGCTTCTAACCGGCTTATCATTATCCTTCCCTGTAATCATCCGAGACAAAATATCCGCCTGCTTCAACTGCCCCTCTTTATTAAGACTCTTGATCAAATCTTTGCAGCTACTCCAATCACTAACACCTCCTTTCTCCATATTCTTACAGAGTATCGAGTATGCATTAAGAGTTTTCCCCGCAGCCAACAATGCATCCAGCACCTTCTCATAGGTCGACACCTGTACACTATATTCCCTCTCCAAGCCATAATACAAAAGCTTCAAAGCAGCAATAGTTTTCCCTTTCTCGCACAAAACGGACAATATTCGGTCAAAATCGGGTACAACCCCACTCTGCATAAGCAACTCGATTCTGCCGAGGGCTTCCTCTACGTGGCCCCTCATGAACAGAGCCTCCAATACCTTAAAAATCAAGTCTTGATGATCTGTGACTCCTTTTTCTAACATCATCTTCATCACACGGCTTGCTGTCTGAACTCGTCCATCCTCAAACAAGCTATCGATTACCGATCGATAAAGGGAAGAATCCGGGAGGTGCCCGCTTTCCACCATGCTGTCGAGAACGATTTTCGCCTCCGCACGGTCGTTCTTTTTAAGATAGCTGTGGACAAGCGAGTCGTATGTGGTCTTCTCAATGCTAATATTTCTCCTGAGCATGATTTTGAGAAATTCGAAAGCGGATTCGGGAGAACCTTCATGGGAATGCCCGATTACAAGGGTGTTCATAGCAGCCGAGTCCTGCACACCCAATTTCATCAGCTGACGCATTAGGGTTTCGGCCTTTGAAGCCTGGCCGTTTTTGCAAAGGTAGTCGATTAGTGGGTTGTACGCGCTAGGCTCCAAGCGCAGAGTACTCTGAGGCCTAAGGATGATATCCTTCTCAATCAGTTTATCCAATAATTTAACAGCCCTGTCATATTCACCAGCCTTGCAGAAATTTTCGATCAAAACCCCATAGTGTCCAGCCTGCGTAGGCACACTCAACTTAATCATGGCCTTCAGAACATCTAAAGCAGCATCCAAGTGACCCGCCTTCACTGACTGGACATCAACCTCACGAAAATCGAGTAATCTTTAGGCTGAATAAACTTAGCCACCATCTCCTTCAGCACAATTCGGGCCTCAAGCATTCTCTCAGCATCACACAGGATGGGCAACAGTGTCGAGTAAGTGACTGCATTCGGCTTGATACCAAATCCTTTCATCTCCTCCAACAGTCTCAAAGCATCATCAACCCGCTCGACCGAAACATAACCTTTGATCAAAGTCGTGTATGTAATCACATTCGGTTCAATGTTCCTCCCCTTCATCTCGACGAAATATTTTTCCGCCTCCTCGACTTTCTTGACACGGTAGTAACCGTTGATCAACGTGTTGTATGTCACCAAATCGGGCGCAATATCACGACTCTCCATGTCCTCGAAAAACCGATTGGCCGTCTCGACTTTGCCTGAGAGAAAAAATCCCCATAACAAGATATTGAATGTGTGACGAGTCGGCTTAAGGCCTTCAGCCAGCATCTTGTTGTAGTACCTCTTGGCCATCATGTACCGGCCCCTGCGCAGGATTACCTTAAACAGAGCGTCGTATGACTTCAATCCCCGCTCGACTCCCAATTCCTCCATCTTCTGGAACAGCTTCACGCTCTCCTGGACAATCCCAACTTTCCCATAGCTGTAGATCATCAGGACCCACAAATCCTCGTCCCACTCGAGGCCCTTTTTGGGCATGTCCAGCAAAATGCGCCTGGCGTGATTGAGCTTCGAGGCCCGACCAAGAATCTCGATGATTTTGAGGTGGGTTTCTCTGTTGTGCTGAAAAAGATTCGACCGCTCGACCCATCGAAAGAACTGGAGCGCGTGCTCCGAGTATTTGGCGCCGTGCAGCACATTGTAGACGAGCTCGGGGTCGAAGCTCGGGACGAGGTTTCGGATCGAGTTCTGAAGTCGAGTCGTCCAGGGCCTATTCGCCATCATCCGGCAGATGACGTCCTCGACTTTCTCCGGGCCCCGGCGGCGGAATGGTAAAACGGCGGCGGAGGAGTCGGAATCTGGATTTGGGGGAGCGGGGATGCCTTCATCGGATGTCGGGTTTGTGGATTTGGAGTCGGGTGAGGTGCAGAAGAAGAGGGGAGAGAGCTTGGATATGCTTGGGTTCAAATGGGTTCGTCTCGTTGCTGCTAAAGAAGCCATTTTCGGCTTCACGGCCGGTGGTTAAAGAGTGTAGAATTTTCTGGCGAGAGATGGTAGAGCGGGTTATGGACTTGTGGGGAAGATGAGAGTGAAAGTGAGTTCAGTAAACTGGAATGACCACACTATTATTTCTTTTTTCTTTATTCATCTAAATAAAATGATTAAATAGTACAATTAATTTTCAATGGTTTTGCTCAGATGTTTGTGGGTTTCGTTAATAAAATGAGGTTTGGGTCACTTGGGCCGGCCGATTTATTATTGCATATGACATCTAATATAGCATTTGGTAGATCTAACAAAATCCTCCCAACGTTCAGGTCCATTGACTTTTGTAAAACTGATTAATGGCTGGAAGAAAAATATGATAAAGAAAGATAGAGGAAATTGCATGTCATACTCTGTTATGCTTAAATTATATAACATTTTTGCACCTCTTTTATTTTTTTTTAAATCACCTAAATCACATAAAAATTTTCAATTATAACTAATAACCTGATTAACCGTTATTAACATTTTAATAATAGTAATGATATAATTAAGTCAAATTAATTATTCACTTACCAATAAAAGTGGAAATTAAAAGGTAAAATTACCCATCCCCACCGCCCTACGTAACCCGTCATCTCCTGCAAACCGCTCACCAGTTTTCGCTGATTTCGAATTTCAATGGCAAAAACCAAAATCCCTCATCCTCAACGAAAAAATCTGGCAGATGGTGACGACGTTTCACAAGTTATAAGATCTAGTGCCCGACTCCGTAAAATCCTCCCAAAAAATCAACCGAAACTCGTTCAAAAAAATTAATTTTCGAGAAAAATTCGAACCCTAATCCTAGTTGTCGCATGGTTTCCGGCAAGGCGAGTCAGACGACTTCCAGTCAAACACAAACAAACCGAAAAAGACTCGGCAAACACGTAAACTGGAGAAGCCAACCCGAGTTCCAAGCGAAGAAGACCTTGAGTTTGAGTGTGTAAGCCAACCTGAAGAAACCGACAGTGAAGAATATTTGGAAGAAGAAGACTCTCCGCCCGCTGCAGCCCTCCGCTGCCCTCTACAACCCTCCGTCGCCCGCTTCCGCCCTCTCGCACTATCCCACTATCTTTCTCCCACGACGGCACTCTATCCGACACACAGATTGGTTTCCTCCGCCTCGCCGCCGCTTCATACCTTCACATCACCGACCCCCGCCGGACCACCCGAAGCAACCATCGACTCCGTCGGACCTCCACCAGACCACCAAGTGCCCGTCCGCCGTTCGCCACGCCGAAGTCTCAGTCTGTCGCTCGACGTCGCCGGAATCTAAAGAGATCTGGTAAAAAAATCTGAAACAATGATGGCGGCATCTTCATGGGCGGCTGTGGTGGTGGTGCGCCGTGGACGTACGACCGTCGGACTGTCGGAGGTGGTTGGTCGCCGGCCGTGGAGGGAGGGAGGGAGGTGGTTGGGTGAGTGAGATTTGGGTTTGTGTTTGAGAATTTGATTAGATAGAAAGACTTAATAGCAATTTTTATCTTTAGTATATTAAAATTGTGTTCAATGTGTCAAATTTGCAATTAACTAAATATGATTATTATTTTATCAGTAAATATTTTATTATTTTAAGTTGAAAATAAATATTATTTTTACTAAAACATATGCTAACAATAATATTATTTTTTTTAATAAAATGTTTTTAAAAAAATAATATATAGTTTGATCGTTCGGTTATTTCATCTTTTGGAAAAAAAATTCGATACCTGATAAAAAATAAAAATAAAAGTAAAAATAATAATCAATCGAAAAATAAATTCTGAACCAAAATAAAAATAATAATAATAATAATAATTGAATCGAAAATAAAAATAATAATAAAAATAAAAATAAATTCTTGTTTGATTTCATGCAACCTGATAGTCATTTATGTGCAATTCATATAACTATAATGTGCACTCGCAATACATACAATAAAGTACAGATAAAAAATAGTATTATTTTTCATTAAAAAAACTATATATAAAAGAATTGGTAATATTTTTCATACAGTTTGGCTTGTTCAATTATGATACTTATTTAAAAAGACTATATTCAACATTTAGTCGACTAATATTTTATTCGATCGATTAGCATAATTATTGTATATTTTGGTACGTGCAATGTGTTATTCTATACGGTGCAACATGTTGTGTTATATGGTGCAACATATTACCGTGTAAAGTGCAACGATTGATTTTGGTGTATATACGTGCAGCGTGATATTCTATACGGTGCAACATGTTGTGTTATAAGGTGCAACATATTAATGTGTAAAGTGCAACGTATTAATTTTGGTATGTTAGCATTCTTTTGTATGTTTTAGATAGATAATGTGATAAAGTGCAACGTATTGTTTTATAAAGTGCATCATGTTATTTTATAGAGTGCGACATTCCTTTATATAAAGTGCACTAGCTAATTTATACATTCCCATGAAAAACATGTGTATAATTGTACATTGCATTAACCTAAATAATTAAAATAATTTTTTGTTTATTATTTTTATTATATAATTTGTTTTCTATTACAAATTATTGTTTATATTATTTTAATAGTTATTATTATTTCTATTTAATAATTTAATTATTAATTTAAAATAATTTTAAATTACTTTACTATCTTATTTTACTTTTTATTTAATAATTTATTTATTATTTTAATATAAATGCATACCAAAATATTTTTTATGAACTTTCAATTATTACATATTTGACCCATGGGTTTAAATTGAAATATAATTAAAATTATTAAATTGCACATACCCCTAAACGTAATCTAATTCTAAAAAGAAATAGCCCTAACACCCCATTCTATTTTCAGGCTCTGAATTGGTCGGATTGTCTCCTCTCACACTATTGCCGGCGAGTTTCGAGCTGCAGGAGACGGCGGACGTCCAGTGATAGCGTCGTTTGAAGCTCTCCACCTCCATCCGCCATATCTTCTCCCAATGACGGCAGACGGAGGTCGCCGGAGATGATTAGCAGCGGTGATGGAGGTTTGTATTGAGAGGAGACGAAGGTTGGTGGCCGTTGGAAAGTCGTTGGAGACGAACTGAGATGGCCGACGAAGATTGCAGTCGGACGAGATTCACGGAGGCGCGGCGGCGGCTAGGGCGTGGCGGAGGCGACGGTTAATGTGATGGCCGACTGTGTGCTGTGTGTGACCGCCGACGGCGACGGTGTGTGTGTGTGTGTGTGTGTGTGTGTGTGTGTGTGTGTGTTCTCGCCGGCGGTCTGTGTGTGTTGTTTGTGTGTCGCGTGAGTTTGTGTATGTATTGTGTGTGTAACTGTGGGTGTCATTGGGTGAGAGAGAAGTGTGGGGCTGGCGTGGGTAGGGTGAGGTGGGAGGGTGGGTGGGTTGTCAAGATATTTAGAGCATCTCCAACCATGTCCTCTGTACATACAGTTTGTACAGTGAAATCCCACTAGTTATACAGTTTCATCAGTGGCAGCAACTCCAACCCATTCCCTCTATAATTCCCCTCTAAAAGAATATTCCAAGCATATTCTTTTCTAATTTAATTAGTTTATTAAATAATATCTACAAATTATATTTTAATACATTATGCTTGCTAAAAAAAAAAATCAACAGTTGCTAAATTAATTTTTCATTACACTACTTAAAATTCTACCATATTAATTACAATAATTAAGTTTTAAACATTATAAAAATATTTTAATTCAACTCATTAAATTACTTATTTAAATTAGCACAATTGTAGTTAAAAGAAGACTCACCCACAATACATATAAGAAGCCCAAAATACAACCTAACTTTATTATTTAACAAAAAAGAAAAAAAGAAAAGAAGAAAGAAAAAATGTATAGAGGATGAACAGTGAAACGGTTGCCAAACCGTTCCACAAAAACTCTGTACAGTTTCCGGCACAAATAGAGGGCTTGATTGGAGATGAATTCTCTCCAACCATAACGTTTCCTCTTGCTATACATAATAGATTGGAGATGCTCTTAATTTAGATGGTGTTAAGAGATAGATTATTTAATGTAGGGTGGGGCCCAATATGTAATTTTAATTTTTTTATTAGCCATTAGATCATTCGATCTAATGATCACAATTCATTCTCATTTATTTCATTGAGAATCTGTAACACCCCACCTTACTGTAAAAGCAGAGTTGCGCAATAATTCGCAAAGTCTTTGAAAACTAAAATCTTTTTACTTTGCGAAAACTGATTTGGGGTGCTACCGTGAAAAAAAAATTCTTACTTAACTTAGAAAACCGTTGTTTTAATTTAATAAAACGTCCGGTTACCGAAAAACTTAATTTCTTAAAAGTTCTCAAAAGTAATTAGTTCGCCAAAACGAGTATGTCAACATCATCAAAACATCATCATAAGTCGTCAAAATATAGCGGAAGCGTAAGTCATAAGTATAATTATACAGTCCAAAAACATATATAAATATCCTGAGAGTCCCGACATGCCCCGTCACGTCACGCACCCTGCCTGACATCCTGACCTGAAACACATGATAAAACTGGGGAGTGAGCACTAAGGCACTGTGCTCCGTGGAAACTCATACTAATGTAAAACATCGTAAATAATAATAATATCATGAACTAAGCATATATAAATGAATTGAACTGATACCGGTCTGAACTCGCGACCGAAGTCACGTACTCGCGACCGAAGTCACGTACTCGCGACCGAATTCACGTAACTGATAACTGATCTCGTGACCGAAGCCACGTAGTGACCGAAGTCACATCTGAACTGAACATCTGCCGGCGAACCGGACACCATGTGCACACTCTAGTGGG